CCACAGGTCATGACACTAACAGCACGTCGTGTTTTCTTATTTTGAGAAATGCCTTTGAGACTCTTATTTTAAAATGTCTGCAGAAGAACGAAAGTTATACAGGTTTGGAAAGACATGAGGGTGAGTAAATGATGATAGAATTGGCTTTTTTTTTTTTTTTTTGGTTGAGCTATCCTTTTAAGTGAGATTTTAAATTGTGTATATTTTTTAATTGAGTGTGTATTTTCAGTTCCAAACAGCATAGAGTACATCTGTACATATTACTACACAGGAAGTGGAACGGGAAATTTGCTCACCAGTCATAGTGCACCACCTACATGAGTACTCCATGAAGTGTGTCTAAAATAAACAGTGAAAAAAGAGTTGAGGGTCAGTGTGTGGAATAAAGACAGCTGAATATATAATACATGACATATGCAATAAATTCAGCTAAGATTTCTTGCCAGGCAAAAAAAGGTGTGTGTGTGTGCGCGTTTTTGTGACAAATGAGGACATAAATTTGTATAATGACAAGGAAGGAGAAGGTGACTTTTCAGGACATTACCCCATGTCCCCACTATGTGAGTGATTTACAATCAAAGAAAAAAAAGTGTGTGTGTGTATATATATATATATATATATATATATATATACATATATAATTTTTTTTTTCTTTGATTGTAAATCACTCACATATTGCCTAATTACTTGAAATGACACATGATGATTTCAGTTGATGGGAAAGAATATAATTAGTATTACTATTATTTTCAGGTGTACTAATCATATTAGTTTTTGCCGTTATTTCAAAATTGGTGATGAGAATGAATTTTTTTTGGTATTGACTACTGAAATGTTGGCATTGTGTCAACCCTTGTGCTTGCCATGAAATTTTTTTTGTATCATTTTCCTCAAAGAATTCATTATTTTAGATTCCTTGATTAAAGAGACAGAATGGATGATTTCATATGAAAGCCTTTCGTTACACATTAAGTAGATGGATTAGCAATTCCCAGCTGATCTCTCTTCTTTCACATTGAGAAAAGAGGGTAAATATCACCATGGCTTTCTAATTAAAAGCAATATGTGAGGGACAGAGAAAGGGTTTATTTTGGCAGTGGACTATCTTTAAAGTGACACTACAGCCATTCCAGCAAATTAATGAAAAGGCCAAAATGCTGTTTAGTTGTGGAGGCCCTACTTTGTATGGAACAGGAGTGTAGTCTCCATCTGTATGCGTATTGTTCAGCCCAAATCATTTGATTTCCTGAGACTCCTCGTTTCTTTGGGCAACTAACTGAGGCTCGTATTTACACTTCATCCTGAAGTCCATTTACCGCCAGAGCCAGACAGCTGGCATAACAAAAGACCTTGAACTGTAATGAATTCTAGTGAGATAATGTGTGCATTTGTAAGAGAACTTAAAATGCTTATATACATATATATAGGAAAAGGTATCAGTTCAATTACACCAACTTTAGACTAGCTCCTCTTTACCACCAGAGGTTGAATAGAAGTTAGATGCATTATTCAGTATGCACTGTCCTGTGGAATTGGTCAATTGTTTTATTTGTTTCGTAGAGTGAAACCATGACAAATCTAATGCCAATTAAATAAATAGCTGGAAAATGTGCAGATTTTTTCCTCTCCAAATGCTCTTGTTTGTTGATCTGTTTTGAATTAGACACACAGAACATGGGGCTATGTACACTTTTAAAGTAATAGTTCACCCAAAAATGAAAATTTGCTAAAAGTTTACTCACCTTCAAACCATCAAGATGTAGATGAGTTTCCTTCTTCATCAGAACAGATTTGGAGAAATGTAGCATTACATAAATTGCTCTCCAATGGATCCTCTACGGTGAATGGGTGCCGTCAGAATAGGAGTTCAAACAGCTGATGAAAACATCACAGTAATCCACAAGTAGTCAACACTACTTTAGTTTGTCAGTTGACATCTTGTAAAGTGAAACGCTGCATATTTGTAATAAATTCATCATTAAGATGTTTTTAACTTCAAACAGTTGCTTCTGTCTAAAATACGAGTCGTCTATCCACAATATTGATTTCTCCAGTAAAACAGTCATCTTGAGTGAATCAGGTGAGAAATATGCACAGATCAAGCACTGTTCTAAAAACGGTTCTAAAATGTGAGAGGACAACAGGAGATGGACGTTTTCACTGGAGGAAGAGTTATTATGGATTATGGACTTGTATTTTAGCTTGAAGCGATGGTTTAAAGTTAATGATGGATTTTTTTTCCTTAAAAACACGTAGTTTTTCTTTTTACAAGACATGTAAGTTAAAATGTCAAAGAGACATAAATGTACGCAGCATATTCACTATAGTCTGTTATCCAATCTTCAATGTTTTGTTTTTTTTGACAGTTCTCCTACATGCAAGTATGATAAGCATGTGTTTTCCGCCTCCACGTTCATGAGTTTTCTCATGATGGAGGATGATTCACCATGAGTGCTATCTGGCATCTAATTTGGTACAGGGTGAAGAGAAATAATTTCCTATCATCCCTCAACTGCACAGACGCCATCTGTGTTATCCAGCACGGTGCATCTGAAACTCCTGAATATTCATCTCTCCCTCTCATCTGATTAGATTAGTCCCCAATCAGTTTGCGAGTGGAATGATTCTGTATTTGACAATGCAGTTTTATTAGGATAATCACAGTTTGTCACAGCCCCTCACTCCACTGTGTTAACAGAGCAATGCATGTGACATGGGCCCCCCTCAATTGTTTTGTTGCTGTATTTACTCATGAATAATGGAAAAGCGCCTCATGAATGCATAATTAGAGACATGTTGGCCAGTATATCTGTAGAGTTTTAATTGAAAATTAGCATGGCTATTAATCAACATATGTGGGCCCCAAAATCCCTCTGACACTGTAAAATTGAGTTGTGTATGTATGTATGGCCAAGGATTGAAACAAATGACGTTTTAATTGAAAAGCCTGTCCTGTATCTTCTCCTCCAGCTCTCTGAAGAAAAGCCACGAGGTTGTGAGGTTGATAAACCTGCCTTTTGTTCTCACGTTTGAAATATGAGTATGCAAAGTTAAGGTCACTTACATTTGACTTTCCCTAATTTAGAATGTCCTTGGGGCTTGGAAAGAGTTGGTCTAGAAAAAAAAAATGTTTTGGCACATTTCCATGACCGAGAAAAAGGAAAACTTCTGTGAGAACAATGAGATGCTTTTGTGAAATGTGAAAAGCATAAATGCATTGGCGGATAAATCATGAGCTTGGTATATGTTTAGGCATGACAATCCCCCATTAAATGACCCCCTTAATTACAGCGTCATTTTATCTTATGAAGTCTAAATGAAAGCTGATGAATAACCTCGACTCTTCCAGAGGATGTTTTCAGTGGTGTAGGATCAGAGCTCAGAGGAAATTGGGACTCCGGAGATTTGTAAGAGGTCCTGTCACATGAGCTATAAATCTCACGCTAAGTGGCTGTGTTGCAGTTATGGTAATTGATACCAGTGTAGTTAAGGTGCAGTGTGACATATTCACAGTGTGCGAGATGGAAGTCGATGTTTCACTTAGACGTGTTTTATGTATTCTTGTGGCTGCTCAAGCAGATGAGGGTCACCTATGTGCCTCATGAATCTTTAAACAGCTGCTTGGTGCAGCCGTGTCAATAGATATCTCTGAGGCTTTGGCTCCATCTCTCTCTTTCGTTCTCTCTTTCTCTTGCTCTCTTTCTCACACACACAGAGTGATTCAGAATAGCTTAGCAGCATAGCCTACATGCGAACGTCTGTTTACTGTACAGAGTAATGCCTTCAAGTAAACACATTTGCATTTGTGGCTGCGTTTACAGACTGTTGGTGTATTTTTTAATGGAGAAAAGGGCTATTTACAGCAATGCTATCATTTACTGCATGAAATCTGTTTTATTGAACTTAATTGTTTATCTAAAGTGCAGTCTTTGTAAATTTTTGAATAATGTTTCTGCAGGGTTTTTGTTTATGGCTGCATATTGATTCTAATCAGTGTGTAATATTTGTTTATTTCATTTTATAAATGTTAAATTCATTCTTTTTGGGGGTTATATATTCGGAACTTGGTTCTGCAAACTTATTGCATTTTGTGTACGTGTTCTGCATTTATTTGATCAAATACAGTAAAAACAGTAATATTGTGAAATATTAAAATTTAAAATGGCTGTTTTCTACTTTCATATATTTGACAGTGTAATTTACTTCTGTGATGCAAAGCTGGATTTTCAGCAGCCTTTCAGTCTTCAGTGTCACATGATTCTTTAGAAATCATTCTAATATGCTGATTTGGTGCTCAAGTAACATTTTTATTATTATCATCAATGTTGTGAATAGTTTTGGTGCTTAATATTTTTTCAGGATTATTTGATGAATAGAAAGAACAACATTTATTTGAAATATAAATATTTTGTAACATTACATATTTACTGTCACTTTTGTTCAATTTAATCTGTCCTTGCAGATTAATAATTAGGTATAGTAATAATTAGTCATTTCTACTTTGTTAGAATTTCTACTTTGAAACAAATGCCAATTTGCTTAAATGGTTTCTGCAACTTTACCAGAACTTTACTTTTACAGTAAGAGATGTAATGGCTTTAAGTTGCTAATTAAATTAGCATTCATTAGGATAGGAAAGAGGAAGGACGAATTGTAAATGAGAAACCTGCAATCATTCTATTGGCATTTCTCTTAAAGATCCACTGACAGAAAATGGTGCTGAAGGAACGTTTTTGTCACAAAATGAAATCACTCTGGGGCTGGTAGTGCATTTTAAGCTAAATTCAGTCAACTGGATTGTTTCCCATTTTCATTTGCATCTCTCAAAGCTTAGCAAATTAAAGCAAGTGACATTTGTCTGAACCACATAGATTTGCATACAACTGTCTTAGCAGTTATTAAAGTAGTTACTGACAATATAGTGAAACTGTGTGGATTATATGTTTTTGCAAAATCACACCAGACGTGTATGTAAACTATCATTCTTTCCTGTTCTTTAGGTAAGGTGGAGGTGATAGTCAGATGTCCTCTAAATCACATACAGTGTATAGGGACGAGAAAGTGCATTCACTTCAACAAGCTCTGTAATGGGGCGAAAGACTGTGAGGACGGTTTTGACGAAGGAGTCCACTGTCGAGGTGAGTACACTAAATTATAATGTCTTTGCCTGATATTAGCTATGCAGATGTTTATTTTGATCTGTCAATATCAATAAGCTCACTGTTTGGACAAAAACAGCATTTATATTGACAGCCTAATGCTGCATATCTTTACATATATTGGCTTTACGCTAATGGATGGCAAACAGGTGAATGACGCCGCAGGTGTGATGTTGGACACAATCAACTCTTGTTCACAATCATCCAAGCCACAATAACAAGCAGGTGGAGCCACCTGGACTCTGTGATATGACAATACCGACTCAGCAGTTGGCATTGGCTGGATGCGTGTTAGTAGAGGCGGCACACCTCAGGCTGGCCAAGAGTGCGACCTTTGGTAAACTGGAAAAGTGTGGCACCCAGCTGGGCAGTGCCAGGAGCAGCTGATCCTGCACTTTGATCCAGAGCCTAGCTGAAAACAGGCCAGTGACCCATATAAACAACACCAGATTATAATGTCAGGTGGATTGCAGGGGTTTCCTGCAGGGTTGGAGCAACAACACGTTTTTCTAGACTTGAGAGACTGGTGGAAGAATAATAATTAGTTTTGAATTGCCTGAGAAATGTGACTCATGTACATGCTGTTAGGTTTGAATAGACAGTTGTATCAAAAATTTATTTATTTATTTAACAAGCCACAATTCAGCTTTTTTTTTTCTTCTTGCTGTTCTTCATCTCTTGCAGTTCTTCATCTCACAGTTCTGCGTTTAAATGTCACAATTCTGGGATTATATGTCGAAAAAAGTCAGAGTTGTAAAATAAAGTCAGAATTGTGAGATAAAAAGTCACCTTTTTTATCCCGTAGAAACAAGGTTTCATAATTTATTTATAATACATGAAATAAAAAAAAATTAGTTTAGTTTAGTTCAGTTAATTGTAAATATGCAAATATTTTAGATTAATTATTTCTAGATTTGGGAAATTGTATTTAAAAAAATGCTAAATAGAAGCATTTTTACTACAGATCTCTTACTTTTGGATTCCACTGTAAATTCACTTCAAATTAATTATATTTCCTCATAAAAACAGTGGACAGTTGCCTGTTTTTTTTTTTTTTTGTATCTGTCATTGGTATATTAAAATGATATATCCTTTGCCGCTATATTAGCTCATTCCTTGTGAGCCAAACCTCACTTTTCAGGTTTATCTGCCCTAAAGGAAGGGCTAACCTCCAAACATCTTTCTCTGACAGAAGAACCAATCGCCTTCCAGCGCGAGGAAAGAGATTGGTCTAGTTCAGTGGGCAGAAAGATTAAGGTTTTGACTTGACGTATTGCAGATAAAGAAAGAGGTGCTCAGAGCCTGAAGTGATGTATCACAGAAAGTTATCCTTGGGTGTTAGGAAGCATTAAGAGACATTATGTTCATTGTTCTCCTCCTCCATTTGTTTGTTTTTAGATACAGCTAATTAAGCAACGAGTGCCTGGGGCAATAAATCCTTTTTTTTTTTTTCATTCCACTCTTGCTCAGTTTGCAGACTTCTTAGTTGCCGTTTACTTCACTGCAGTCATAGAGCAAATGTTTTTCAAACATCGTCATTCTATTTAGTTTTTCACCTCTAATTTGATGATTTTGCAGCTTGTGTGCAAGGAAAATTACAGTCGTTTTTAAACCACATGCAGATGTTAGTAATGATACGTAAGGCAGATTTACAGGTTACACAGAAGTGGAAAGTCTGGACGTGTTTTTGTTGGTGATTTAACTGTCTGCTGAACTAAGCAACATAGTATATTTCATCAAAGGGTCTATTTGAATGAGTAAGCACTGGCCACTGAGGAGTTCGGGCCGGGACATTCGACATGTGTTTCCAACCATACACCTGCAGACGGGAGGAAATGAGGTCACCGCGGAGAAGTTGGAGCATGGCAGCTGGGTCTTCGCTGACACTTTCCCTCCCCCTCTCATAATGAATTTACATAATAAATCCCAGGAGGGCATTACACAAAATTGTGCCCATATGGAAGACAAAGACAGCATTCTATTTCACCTTCACACACTTTGGCAATTCTTTATTTTAAAGATTGTCTTTCAGTGGAGTGGAGATTTTCAGAGATGGCATGAAAAACTTTTTTTTTCTCCTTTCTTTTTTTTTTTCAGCACCTGGCTGCCTCTTCTTCACCGTGCAAAATCTGGCTCCTCTCAGCCAGCATTGATACTTGACAGGTGGAGATGAAAAGAGGGCACATTTAAATTTAGGAGCTCTTTAGTGGAATTTTCAGAAGTTCCTCACAAGCTGTAAGCATACAAGTGGCAAGAATGTCTGTGGTGACAGCATTTGGTCATAGTTACACGTGGTTATGTACATAAGTTCTTTCAAAGGTGCTTTCAAATACTTTTTTGACCGTTTATGCTGCAACTCAACATCAAATTATTATTATTATTATTATTATTATATGGATTATGTATAGATCTTTTTTTTTTCCACAGATTTGATTGACGCTCGTGTTGTTCTGAAAATATCTAATTTGGTTAAAAAAAAAATTTCCTTGTAAATCTCTCATTATGCTGTATTATCACCAAATCTTGTATTCAATTTTTTTTGTCATCTTGTTTTCTTTCAGTTAGCACATGTTTTATATTTCTTTTTGGAACCGACTGGCCGTAGGCTTTATTGAGTGCGTTTACATGAACGTTCTTAAACCAGTTATGCTTAATAAGCTGCATGTAAACATGTTGAACTGCTTCCCTTTATCGATGTAAGGTCATAAATCGCTTAAGAATAAACCGATCGACACAGGTGGATTTTTGCCCATTATTCTGATTTCTCTAAGTATATAAACACCGTAACCTGCATTTTGTCGTCTTATTAAAGTGCACAGAGAGAGTTTTGCAGTGGAGGAGGAAATATATTGCAAACGCTGACTTTTTCTTGACCCCAAAAATACAAAAAAAAAAAAAAATGTTTTCTCATCTTGTGCAGCCATAGGACAAGTGGTACAGTTGAAGATGACAATGACAATGATAGTTAGGCTAGTGAATGATGGTTAGGTTAGAAAGCAGGGTAATATCAGAACAAATTTCATTTGCATTGTCTTTATGCTGAAATGCAATAACAAATGAACACCCTTAGGTAATTCCATAGATTGTGCTTGTATTATGTTCAGTTCAGTCATTAAAAAGCAGCTCATGATTCCTTTTCTCAAAAGCAATTACATACCAATTAGAGTAATTACAGAAGTAGAAAATAAAAAAAGAAGAAAGCTTAGAGAAAGTCTCTTTCAGTACAGAAGAAGCAGTGTTGGGAAGGTTACTTTGGAAATGTAATAGGTTACAGATTACAAGTTACCCTATTTAAAATGTAATAGTAGTGTAACTTTTTCAATTACTTTATTAAAGTAATGTAACTGATTACTTTTGATTACTTTTATAAATTTCTAATGAATGTTTATT